AGTAGACAGCCTAGACATGAGGGAGGAATTGAAGGAATGTCGAACTGAGCCAATTGACCAAGTAAAACCTGTGGTTCTTGATGAGAAGAGGCCCGAGCGTATAGTCAACATTGGTGTAGACATGGATCCAAGCTTTATGGTGCGATTGGAAAATTGCTTAAGGGAGCATAAAGACATTTTTGCATGGTGTCCAATAGACATGCCAGGTATCGATCCAAAGGTTGCATGCCATAGGCTTGGAGTTAACCTAGATGTTGTTCCTGTTAGACAGAAAGTGTGACACTTCGAGGCTGAAAGGACTGTAGCTATTGAAGAAGAGGTAGCAAAGCTTAAAGAGGCAAGATTCATTCAAGAGATTACTTTTTCTGAATGGTTATCAAATGTGGTGATGGTGAAAAAGGCCAATGGAAAGTGGTGAATGTGTGTGGCCTTTACAGACTTAAACAAAAAACCAGATTTGGCAGGGAGACTTGTAAGGTGGAGTATTGAGCTCACATAGTTTGAACTGGAGTTTTAGCCACGGAGAGCAATGAAATCACAAGTACTAGCAGATTTCATAGCAGAGTTAAGCAAGGAGGAAAAGGCTGTAATGCAGGCACCAGCCATAGATGTACCATGTAAGAGGAAAGCTCCAGAGCCAAAGAAACCAACAAAAAACCTACCTTCTAACCTTGTGTGGAACCTATATGTTGATGGGTCTTCTAATGCAGCAGGAAGTGGAGCAAGAATAATCTTAATCTCTCCAGAGGGAGAAACTTTTGAGTGTGCATAAAGATTTAATTTTGAGGCGTCGAACAATCGCGCAGAGTATGAGGCACTTCTTGGGGGATTGAGACTTGCCAAGGCAGCAGGAGTGGAGTACTTGAGGATTTATAGTGATTCACAACTTATAGTGAATCAAGTCAATGGTGACTTCATTGCAACAGAGCAGGTCATGGCTCAATATTTGTCTCTAACTATGCAATTTTTACAATCCTTCCAGGGATATGAGTTGAGCCAAGTAAGAAGGTCAGAGAACCTTAAAGCCGATGCCTTAGCAAAGCTGGCAAGCACAGGGCTAGGTGTGTCTGGAGTGGAAGTTTATATAGAGACACTTTTTGCACCTAGTATAGAGATGGAAAATGCTTTGCCAACACAGGAGGAGCAAAGTTGGATAGATCCAATTCTCACTTTCCTTAAAAGTGGAATCTTACCAAAATATGAAAAAGAAGCTAAAAGATTGCGGAGGAAAGCTGCTTGGTACACAATTTTTGATGGCAACTTTATCATAGGTCCTATACACATCCTTTATTGAAGTGTTTAGGGCCTGTAGAAGCACAGGTAGTGTTGGAAGAGGTACACGAAGGACTTTGCTCGAGCCATATGGCGGCAGATTCTCTAGCACGTAAAATCCTCCGCCAAGGCAATTTTTGGCCTACACTGAAAGCTGATGCTAAAGCATATGTCAACAAGTGTGATAGATGTCAGAGATTTGCCCATGTCCAGCATCAACCTACTAACCCTTTGCACATGATAGTAGCCCCATGGCCTTTTGCTCAATGGGGGATGGACATCCTTGGTCCTTTCCCCGAGGCTAAGGGAAGAAAAAAGTTCCTTATTGTGGCCATAAACTACTTTACTAAGTGGATCAAGGCAGAACCAGTAGCTTGAATAACAGAACAAAAGGTAAAAGAGTTCGCCAAAAAACACATTATGTGTCGGTTTGGGATGCTGAGGGTTCTAGTTACAGATAATGGAATGCAATTTACAAGTGAGGCCTTCAAAGATTTCTGCCAAATAGGAAAGATAAAGAGGAGGTTTTCGATGAGAGCACAATTAGAGACAGAAGGTTTGAGTTTACAACAAATTGAGCAAAGGTTTGCTTCTGTAGCTTATCCAAAGTCTAATGGACAGGCAAAGGCAGCAAATAAGGCTATTTTGGAGAGTTTAAAGGAGAAGGTAGGGTTTGCAAAAGGAACTTGGACAGAGGACTTGCCATACACTTTATGGGCGTACAGAACAACACATAAGACTCCAACAGGAGAAACTCCATTCAATTTAACATATGGTTCAGAAGCTGTGGTGCCGGTTGAAGTTAAGGTGCCAAATTACAGAACAAACTACTTTAATGCTAACTCCAATTAACAAGCTTTAAGGGAGAATCTGGATCTTTTGGACGAAGCTAGGGATCTGTCCCAAATCCATGTTGCCCATTACCATAAGAGAGTGGAGAAGTACTACAACAGTAAAGTTAGACCCAAGGACTTACACCAAGGAGACTAGGTCTTACGAAAGGCAGAGGTCACAGAGCGCAATTCTCGTGAAGGGAAGTTACGCCCTAGTTGGGAAGGACCATATTTGATTCAAAAAGACTTGAGTAATGGAGCTTTTAAACTTGTTAAGCCGAGTGGAACTCCGATCCCAAGGGCTTGGAATGTAGTTCATCTGAAGAAGTATTATTAGTAATTTTTTCTTGTTTTAGCAAGGTTGAATAAATTTTGTGAATAAAACATTTTCCAATGTTGCGTATTACTTTGAATAGCATGCCTAATTTCTCTGATTTCATCTAATTACACAATATTCTATAACTCTAACTTTGTTTTGACGGTTAGGGAGTCTATCCCGGGAAAACACCGTTAAAGAGTGGTGAAAAACTAGTTAAGCTCAGGGCCCAAGGAAAACCAATTGCAACAGTTTTCTCATTGAAAACTGAGACATTTTTAAGAAGGTGTCATGCTAAATCAACTTTCTAAAAAGTAAGTTGGTAAAAATTTTGGCAAAACATGAAAAGCCAAAGTTCAAAAAGTTTCAAGGAAACAATTTATTCTAAGAAATAATATAAAAACTAAGAGCTAGAAGCTTCATCTTGAGAAGAATCTTCATGTTCAGGGTTGCTGGAATCGCACTCTTGGTCCGCAGATTCTCCTCCCTCATTTTCAAAATAACATTCTTTGGAGATCTTCTTCACCCCATCCTCAAACATTTTCTTCAAACCTGGGTCTTGCTTGATTTCCTTAGAAATGTTAAGCTCTTGAATACTTGGAATATGATCACCTTTTAGCATGTCTCGTTCAAGTATAAGAGTTGTTATGATGGATACAGCAAGATGAAAATGATCTATGCAACCACTCAAAGCCCAAGTTTGACCTTCTTCTGATCTCTTAAATTTATGGATAGTGTCAGTTGAAGTATTGGCGATCTGCGTTTGAAGACTCACGTTTTGAGATGAAAGCTTTGTCCTTGCTTCCTCCAGGGCAGAATGGTTAGCTTTCATTTCTATCTCAATTTTGTCTTTCTCTTTCTTAATTGAGAGGTAATTTTCATGTGAGTTCGTGAAAAGCTTCTTCAAATTTTCTAGCTCAACACATAGGAGCTCAGATCTTTACACTGCAGCATTTTTCTCTTCATCAAGTCGAAGACATATTTGGACAACATCACCAAATAAGTTCTAGAGCTTTGTAGCCTCCTCCTTTACGTAAAAGCTGGCATCCTCATTCTTAAGGTAATCTTCTTTTAATGTTTGGTGGTAAGCCATAACCTAGAAATTGAAATTTTAATTTACAAACAAAAGCCTCTAGAGCATTGAAGACAGAAAAAAAGACAAGAAAGTTGCAAACCTTTGTGAGATAATGGTTAGTTTCATGCCATCCTGTCTCTGCTGTAAGTTCTTTCAGGTGATTTTTGTCTTCCTTTGTAAGGAAATTCTTTGATAGCTGGTATGCAATTGAGCTTTCTCGGAGCACTGATCTTCCTCTCATGTTCGGATCATATCCTAAAAACATTGAAGAATGGATTTTTGGGTGTATAAAAAAAAGGGGGAGAAAGCTAAAAAGAGTTCAAGGACTTGAAGATACCTGACTCAAGATCAAGCTTAAAAGAAATGGACTTCCCGGTTTGATTTTTTTCCCATGACCAACACCATGATAGAAGATAATAACTCTCTGTCAGTCTTGGAGCTTTTGTAATCGATCCCATATTGACAAGGTGCTGTAGGTTTGTTGGTTCTGACTGGATTCTATAGTGTAGGTTACTGTCTTTGGGAAAACAAGAGGGATATCTGAAGATTGTTCTATTTGCTTCATTGGAGAGTTTGGGCAGTCCTGAGCTCTAGGAATTCCCATGGCAACTGAGTCTTCTTCCTCAGTTGAATTCTTATTTTTTTTTTCACACAGCGATCCAGCAAATTAAGTGCAATTATGGTAGAACCTATAGGCAACAACATCTTATTAGAAATGATTTTTGAGACTTAAGAATTTGATGAATGAGCAACAAAGAATTCTGACATACCTTTTACAGAGCTTTCTTTCCTTTTTTCGCTTTTTTGAAAGGAAGTCTCAGGTTTCTTTGTAGCCTCAAAGTCTAGGGGAAGATTAAGGATAATGACCGTTGAAGGCACATGGTGATGGTGCCAAACTTTAGATCTGACGAGATTGCCTTCATCAAGTAAGACTTCTGCTTTTATAGAATTGTTGTTAAGGAGTTTGTTGATGATAAGGTATGATTCAGCATCAAGGAGAATTTTTGGGGTGTTCGTCCTACCATTCCTCCAAATTGCAGGGAAATTAGAATTCTTTGGGCCCTCCAAAAAGAAAAATCTTTCTTGCCAATCGGTTTTCCCTAAGGTTGGAAGAGAAGTAGGTAATACTGAATTGTCATATTTAATTCTACTACCTTCAAAACCTTCAAATTCTAAGTGTCTCCTGCAAATGTAGTACCAGGCACTAGTTCTTTCCAGAGGTTTGAGCTGAAACAGGAAGGTGAACGCCTCAATGCTTAAAGGGACATTTAGTAGTTGGCACTTCACAATGAAGGCAATTAGAACCGTTATCAAGTGTGGAGTGAGTTGGGGAAGACCTACACAAAATTCATCACAAACCTGGATGATGAAGGGATGGAGTGGAAACCGTAGCCTACACATAATCTGGTCTAAATAGACACACATAGCAGTAGCAGGGGTCTGAAAAGCTGTGCGTTTCCCAGGGTGATACACTTTGTAGGCTCTAGCTTTAATGGCTGTTGTGCAAAGTAATTTGGAAATTTCTTCAGAACTGGCTCTGTTGGTAGTCCAAGAAATTGGGTCGATTTTGAGGAATCTTTTCTTGGATTCCATGACTTGTTTCTTCTTTGTAGGAAAATCATGAATGAGTGGAATTCCCGAAAATGGAGGCAGAGGGATGAATTTTCGTGTTGTTGCCCGAGAGGATCCAAGAGCCACATATAATCCCTCAAAGGTGACTTCAAAGTCAAATCTGTTGCCCATTATGGTTGGTGTGATGCCCTGTAAGGAGTCACCAACAATTGTAGAAGGTCTAAGGATATTTGAGTCACCCAAAGCCATGGATGAAGGGTATGTAAAGACTTTGAGTTGCAATGTTCCTAAAAAAAAATGAAATTCTTGAGTTAAAAAAAAAAGTCGGAGTGCATGCCTGGCAAAATGTGCCGGCTACCAAAAGAAAAAAATTTGGAGTGCATGTGCGGC